AATCAAGACTAGAGCCCAAAATATAACACCATTTCCCCAAAGTACTGTACCGATTTCTAGTTCAGAGACCTCCTGACCTCGGCAAGTCTCTGTGCAGTTGGTAACCCTGAGCAGGTTTCTTGTTCAGTCTCCCTTTGAGTCTCAGATGCTTCCGACAGTCGTAACATCCTGTGGCGAGGAGTTCGCCCCGGCCACGCCGTCTGAGGAACTGCTTCCGTGTGCTGTACGTGACCTGCCAGGGGCGGCTTTTTCAGTGACCTCCTGTGCCGGCAGAGGTGGTGGATGCAGCTGATTCCTGGGTGCCCTCCTCAGCCCTCCTACAAGTGTGTGGGTTGTAGTGTATTGTGCTGCTTTAACCTGTTGGAGAGAGGAGGATGAGAACCGTGGACGACACTCAAAACTGCGGTAGAGCCATACACTTACGTAGTGGCAGAGTGATTTTTGTGGTGGTTTTCTACTCCCTTCTTAATTTCTGTCATTCCTTTTGGCTCTGACCAAATATTAAACCAAAAGCACCATGACGATACCTGTTGTGCTGCCAGAAACAACCTCATCGTGTCAGCTACTCCTTTGAGTACTTACTGAGTTATATTTATCAAGTACAGGGATGTTAACATAAGGAGTGTTTGTGAGTTTTATACAGGGAAACATTTTTTTAAAGGCAAACCAAATCCGTAATCACAGAGATAAAATTACAAGAAGCAGTTTATAGATGTATTTAGTAAATGTATTTAACTTCCACAGTTTTGACACGTATTATTCAAGACCAAGAAGTTGCACTACATTCACATGTTAAAACTTTAAGGGTATCCTTTAAATGTAGTGATTCAACATACTAATAATCCTCAAAAAAAATTAGTACCTTAAGTGAATTAAATAACAGTATAGCTTTGGAAGTTCTTAGAGATCTTCAAATAGAGGGAGTTAAATACTATTTTGAAAAGCACTTTCTTTAAATCTTTTGCCTCGTAAGTGCCCAAATATATCATAATAAACTGTCTTGTAAATTCATTTCCATCAAGAGTTTGCTTGATCATTTTCAGTATTTGTTCCAACATTTGGCTGTTACTGTCATGTTTGCAGGGAGGAGGCAGCACAACGCAAAATCCATGTGAAAGTTTCTTCAAAAGTTTCTAGCATACAACAATGCAAATTTATGTATATATAACGAAAATACTTTTCTAGACCATAAACCTGTATGTTATACCATCATAGAATAATTTATGATCCCTCCTTTTTCTGAATTAATGTGTACTGGGATTTTAAAAAGCAAGCAAGTACTATTAATGCTTTTCTTAGTCAGAAGTGTACTAGTAATCTGAGACTTTTTGTAACTTTCATTTCATTGTCTGTTGGTGGTTATGCCTGTCCTACTACATGACCTAAATTATTGTTGCTAAATTTTGTAATGAGCTCCACAATTTAGCACAGTACTTAAGACAATACAGGGAGGGTAATAGTTGCCTGTGATGGTAAAAGTTATTTCTGTATAATTGGGTTTGATGTCAACCATTTGTCTTTCATTTTGAGATGAATTTGCCGCTTATTGTGATCTGTGTTTATCCTTACGTTCGACCTGAACTTTTCATCTGCTAGGGTAGTTTAGGAATCTTGTTTTAAACTGCAAAATGTGTGTGAATCTACCAGTGGCGTGGGGAAAGCAAATTTTTTAAACAATTATCTGTGTTCGACACACTGTCATGTTAGTGAGGAACATAAAACTCAATCTCTATGTAGTCATTCAGTGCATTCATAAGCTCTGGCCTTTTTTACGCGCTCCCCAGTTGTGGAGATAGATTAATTTTAGCACAAGTGGACCAAAACCATAAACGTAGAAGGGAAGCCATCAACCCTGTGCTCTGTGATTGCAGCTGTAGTCCCCGTGTGGGTGTACTACTCCCTGGTGTGGTTGATGGTGCTGGGATCCTCAGCTCCTGTGAAGGTGCTGAGGTGGGTGCAGGTGGCCAGGGCGGCCGAGCGCGCGCCGTCACCCTCGCGGGTGGGGCTTTGCTTCCAGCCTTGTGGCCCTGCCCCTTCCCTGCGAGACCTTTGGTGCTTCTCAGGCCTTCGCTGAGACATATCCTGGCAGTGGTGGCGTCCCTGGCGGCAGGGAGGCTGGATTAAAATGATCTCTAAGGTCCCTTCCAGCCTAGGCCATTCTATGATTCTATGATCTTCGGTCGCTCATTAGGATGTGAAAAGCAGTGTTTACTTGGATGCAGATTGTTAGCGGTACGTTTCCATATTAACAAAAAAAACAATTCAGAACTTTCTTTCTAGGTTTATTATTAGGACTTTAAAACAAAATAAAAAGCTGGGGGCCTTTTGCTTTTCTTGGTGTAACAAGGCTTGGTCAAAGGGAGAAGAGTTTTACTTCCTACAGTTTCCAAAAAAACCCACCCCTATTTCTGTTTTGACTCTCTTTTTTCATTAAAAAATAGTTTTAGAAACAAATAAAATGAAGTAGAATGATATGCTTAATGTGTGTTATTTATTGCTTGTATAAGGAATACAAATCACAGAATCCCAGCGTGTTCGGGGTTGGAAGGGACCTCTAGAGATGATCTCGTCCAACCCCCCTGGCAGAGCAGGATCGCTTAGGGCAGCCACACAGGAATGCACGCTGGATGAAGTAGTAACTTTAAAATCACACAAACTATCTCTAAAACCCACTGAGCATCAGTTACTGACTGGTGGTGACTGCCTCAACAGAACAAACTGTACTCATCATCGGGTTTTGGGATTTTCAGTGTTACCATTGTTTCGTTCAGTAGTGTGTGTACTCAAGGTGAGGCTTTTAGTCTAGAAACTAGATCAAATACAAATCAAAGATTAGTAAGACAGTTAGAAAGCAGATTCTAATGTCTAAAAAGCAAAAGCAGTAGTTTTGCTGTACGTGAAGCTGTTTCCTCTCGTGTGGAAGTAGTGAAAGATCAGTAGATCGATGGGGAGTTTGCTGCCTGCTGCCCTGGCGTCGATCTGCTGTTGAAGGCACACAGCGATGAGGCTGATACCACCCTTAGATCAAGAGGGGTGATGCAGTGGGTTAGAAACAAGCGCTTGGGACAGAGATGGGCAGAATTTTGAAAGTAGAGGTGGTGATCGTACTTCATGAACATACACAGAGACGTACGCTGTGTTTTTCCTCCTGTTCACCCACTTTGAAGCTATGTTTATGCAGGGTGCTAACTGGAACAGTGATGGTGTGTCCTTTCACATTCTTTCTGCCTGAAACTTTTTTTTTGGCTTTTGTTTTTTTCCTGTAGCAGATGAGTTGAAGTGATTTTTTGATCTTACTATATTATTCATGTTTATATACAAAAATCCCTTTTGTAATTATTAAGTCATTAGCCTCTCCTCGGGTAGTTAGGTCTGTCTACTTCTGTCCCTTTGCTTTAGATCAATCATAGTAACATATCCAAAAGGTTTTTGTACATGTGAGGAGGGAGGGATTTCCCTTCAGGTTCCTGTTTTCCTTAGGTTATTAGATGTTTGTTGTCACTTTTCTCCACCATTGAAATTCTGCTTTCCATAAAATAACTTCTAGCTATGTTCTTCTCTTATTTTTGGAAGGGAAGGCAAGATTTTTGGGATCCCTGCATGTGAGACTGTATGTTAGGGGTGATGAAATAGCATTGGAGGCTGCTCCCTGTCCCAGGAGGGTTACGAGGCGCTCTGAGCAGATCCCGGCCACGTTACACCTCAGGAGCAGCCGCTTCTGAACCTCCTCAGGAGGAGCCTCCTGAATTCAGGAACACTTGGGCTGTGGTTGCTCAACACGCGGCTGCCTTTTCTATCTTCTGAACCATGCCAGACAAACAGGAATCTGTAATGGTAATAAGAATCAAACAATGGGAAAATAAAATTACTGGAATCTAAAGTGTTCCTTGGGCATATCTTCCCGTCATTTTCCTGGTACGGGGATAGGGCTTGTATGTAGCCGCTGGGTAACTGATCTCTGGGTAGCTTTTCTTTAGTGAGAGTATATCCTTTTCAGTTTCTTGTATGAATAACTTCATTGATGGTTCTGCTAAGTCCAGATTTGTGACAATCAACACAAACTGACATCTGTTCTGCTTCTTGTTGGGGTAAAAATCCCCTTATTTTTAGAGTTACGCTGCTTCTAGTACCCTCGCAGTCGTTGAGTGTTAGTCCATGTGTGCGGGGTCAGGCTGCTGAGAGAACACACACACTCATTTTCTGTGCATGTTTGTATATAAGATTACGTTTGTGTAGAAGATTTTAAAATTTCTAATGTTTTGTTTTAGAAAGTGTTTGTCAGAAATAATTAAAGTCTTACAGTTGTGGTTTTAAGTCTAAGTACAATGAAGTGAGCCAAAAAAAGTCATTGGATTCTTAATTATTCTGTAATTATTCTGATGTCCTTTTCAGTTAGTAACTTTAATTATGGCTTGTCTGCTCTGGTGAGTATAGACAGGTATGTTTGCTTGCAAGGACTGCCAGTAGCAGGGCCTTGCTGCTATAGCCCCTCAAGAATTTTGAGAGGGAGAGTGTTTCTAAAGGCTTGCGATTGAATTTGCTCATCATGTGAGTTGATCTAACAGCCAGTCTGTTTAAATTATAGTACAGATGAAACATTGTGCAATAAGACAAGTCATTGATTCAGAAGAAAATAATTGTACCTACATAAAAAGCTACATTCTGTTTTTATTCATGTTTTTAGACTGTATATTCAAGTAATTTACTGATCCAGAAGCATAATAGCAGAATTTCATTAAATGAATCTTGGGTAATGCTTAATGCTGTGATTTGTATTAATTTGCTAGGAGATAAATGGCAGTAGTGTGATGCTCAACTGTTAGTCTGAAAGAGAATCTTATCAAAGTGGTGATTTCCTGTTTAGTAACTGTTTTTTTCCTTTTTTTTTCCTTTTTTTTTCTTTTTTTCTTGTTTTTTTCCTTTTTTTTTCACTTCTGGCATGTTCCTGACACTTCTGCGTGCTTGTGGGAATGAATATTATGATCCATTGTGAATTGTAGAGCCCATTGTGAAGAATGGCAGGCCTCCAACGTCTCACAGCATGCACTCATTTCTCCACCAGTACACAGGATCTTTCAAGAAGCCCCCTTTACGGAGACCACATAGCGTCATAGGGGGCAGCCTCGGCTCTTTCATGGCAATGCCCAGAAATGGAAGCAGATTAGGTAATTTACTACATTGTTTGTTTAAATTCGTTTTTATGTGTAGAATAATGTCTGTATTGATTCTTAGTCAGAGATACAGTTACTCTAATGCTTTCATAAATCTCTGGGAATGCAGTAATCTCTTTCTGGAGTTGTTACAGAAACTTGTTTTTAAGGTACTGAATGTCTCTTAAGATTTTCAGGAAAAAAGCAATTTCAAGAACACACAGAAGCGACCCATAAATTTTTGGCAAGTTGCAAAGTTTAAAAAGTTACAAAATAACTTTCTTAACAGTTTGCGAGAAACATGTGTGTCCATCTCCCTTAAGCATTGGTGAAAACTACAGTAAATTGAATATGGTAAAACCAGAGGATAATCATATGTGGAATTTAAAATGAACTGGTATATTACTTGGACTTTTTATTATTGTAAGAAAAAAATTGCTTTATTCAGTGATTAATTAAGGCCGTTCAACTATAATTAGCTTTTTGTTGTGGTCCCAAGCTACATTTGTGGTTCCATGAGGCAAATAAGTTACAGAAATTTTTTTCTTCTCCTTCAAGTAATTTGTCATGTTGCTGCCTCCAGTCACCATTAATGTTTTACCCTGCTTTTATGTTATCTTAAATTATGCTTAATTAATTGATATTAGAAAATGAGAGCAAGTCAAAATTTAATTAGTATTCTATGATATTTCCAGTCTTCTGCCCTCCTTTAGAAATGTGTGATAAACTGATCTCCTTTAGGATTAAGCTATAAGTCTTCAAGATAGTAGTCAAACTGCTTATATCCTACTCTGCTGTAATACCGCTTTCCATGTTCAAAACCTTGCCTTTTTACTGTTTGTGCTACCATTCAAACTGAAAAAAAATAATTCTATCCTCTTGAATGGGCTGTCAGCTGTTATTATCACAGAAGAAAACAGATTTTAATGTGCATGGTCTGACTACTTTATCAGTTCCTATATATTTAATGTTTTTTTTTTTCTTTTTGCACAGCCAAGCTTTTCTTAAGTTGCCAGGAATCTTAACTGTTTCAACTCCCCCCCCCAAAAGTAAATAATACTATATATATAATACTATATATAAATCTCTCTTGGTTAGAATATTTTGTCTTGTATGGATTGTTTCTCAAATCAGATGTATATACACTGTTTTAGAGGAACAGCAAAGATTTATACTTCTTCTGTGTTGCCCTTAAAAAATTTCCATAGCTTTTTTGATTATGAATTTACCACTAACTGATTCCACTTCAAAATTTCAGTATGAAGTTCAAATCAGCTTTACAAAAGGAAAATTCTTTTAATGATTTTCCAGTTTCCTCAGTTTTATAAATATTTTATTTTATTTTATAAGTATTGCCAAAGAATGCCATTAGTTTTATTTTTCCTGGGTGATCAAGTTTTATAGATGATCAAATGTAGAAATAGCACTCACATTTTTAATATGTTGGTCTGTAGAAAGTGTTACTATAACATGATTTAAATAGCTAGAGATTCCTGGAGAATTTGTAATTTCATTGAAGCAGTACAGAATAGATTTACTGAGAGTGTACGTATGTGTTTGTTAAACACGTCTTTTGGCTTTGGATGTAGTGATGCCATTTACAATACCAGTTGTTGGTTTTTTCTCCTCATTTGATGAAAGTTTAAGCTACTTGTACATACGGTCTAGGGGTAGATGACACAAGTACAAGCATAATTACTAAGGATCTTTCTGCTCCTCCTTCACATCTTTCCTTCTTTTGTTCCTGCCACATGAGAACGGTTATTACTCAGCAGGATGCTGAGGTTTTGTCCGTTGGGATGACGGAATCAGAATGAAATAATCAAATATGCTACACTACGTGAGAGTTTTTGTTTTCTTTGCTTTCTTCGTTCATCCTCTTTTCTTTCCACTTTTTCCTCAATTCCAGTAGTGGAAAAATGTTATCAGGGAGATATCCTTGATATATCACAGAATTACGGCAGCTATAGGATGGTCATTTGGCTCAAAAATGGATTAAAATGAGACCTGCCACAGGTGCATCTTCATGGTGCTTATTTTTGAATGAGATTATCAATAGAAAAATTGGTTGAGAAGCCTGAGAAGGTTTTGAGGTTTTATTTCCTTTCAGAGCACTGAACATGAGTTCCTGCTGTTGCGATAGCTTATAAAATGCCAAAATACATTTAAAAGAATTTCTACATGAAAACAGCTCTGTTAACTTTAGTCGTTTGGTAAAATGTTTTGTAAAGGCTAAAATGCTGAACTGATCTCTAAAAAATGTGACTTCGCTTAAAATTTTGTAGTAATTTTTAATTTAGTATTCAGTATTGTGATGATTTTAAATAACTTAGATGATTCTCAGGCCAAATTGTGAACAAGCCATGCCACTGATGTGAGTGAAGGTCTAGCTGACTTTTTTTTAGCTTGTATATATGTATGTAGCTTCTAAAGTCTTGCACCTCCAGAAGCATTTGACAACTGCTGTCCATGATGGAACCAGAGCTAATGAACCCTTTTTGGACCTGACCTGGTTCAACGCAGAGCCAATTTAGCTGTCCTTGTTTCGTACTTATCTTACTGGGAACATGGGAGAAATGCTGGAAGCGTACAAAGTCAACTGAAGCTGACCCTTCTTGTGAACCTCAGTAGCAGCCAGAGAAGAGTTTATCCCTGCTTTTGCCAGTTGTATTAATACAGTTACAGAGAAGTTTTGTTTCTTTGTCATAAACACTGGAATTGAAAGGAATGATGTTTGTGTGCAGATTTCATAGATGATAATGCTAACAGCAAGGCAATGGCTTTCCTCAGTTTGACTTGTTGTTAGTGAAACTCATCATAAAATGTAGCCACTTCAGAGAAAAGTAAGCTTTGGAAAAGCGCACGTTGGGAGGAATCCAGTATGCAAGCCACATGGTTATTCTTGTAATCATGTGGAATAAGATAGAAGGATCATACAGCCTGACTCACTACTGACTAATCACTGGATATTATTTTAGCTCACTTAGAGGACGTCTCATTTGCTGCGCTGTAGGTTCCCTGCATTAATTTCTTCTGTGGCGCATTCCTCACAGTGTAAATGACGACAGCATTTTCTTTTAAGTGTACTTCCGTAGTTTTTCTGCCATCACCTACAGCTTTTCATTACGTGGCCATACTGGATATTTAATTAGATGTGCAGAGTACATTAAAATAAATACCCATGTAAAGAGAGTGGCTTGGGTATTCAGTGAAGCAATAAAATACTGAACCATTAAAACCTCTGAAGACCTTGCAAGCTGGTTTTGATGCAGGTGAACTTGCCTATAGAAAAGCTTTTGTGAAATTAAGGAAATATTTGGATGACTCTCTTCGTTACTTAATCAAATATTATCATCATGCACCTGTATAAAATTATTAAAATGACTAGGTTAATGCCTTATTCCTGGGTTTATGCTATTAAAATAATGAACATAAGGCTCTGCTAATGCCTTTTTAATTGAATAAAACAAAAGGACACATTTATGTTAGATGATAACACAGTCAAGATATTTTTTAAAAGCTTAAAAGTATCCCTATTTAGAATGTAATTAAAACACCTGCAAACCTTTATAGATAGGAGCAGTTGGTATTTAGCCAATCAGAAATTCAAACAGCTGCTTAATGATAGATTTTTGGATGCCACAGCCATTATGCTGCTTAAACCCTTATGGTTATGGGTACTTAGCTTTCCCAGACTTACCAGAATTAATCGTATCACAGCAGCATTCAAAAAAGACATCTTGTTTAAGTCTGAAATACTGCATTTTTAGTCTTGAGCAGTACAGACACGCTTTGTCTTTGCATTCCTGATCTATAAAGAGCAAAATCTTTTTGTAGCTAAATTACCTGCCCCAGATCTGTGGGTTTATATTACTGATTCTTGAAATAGTCTTTAGTTGTGAATTACTGCGTAGATAGTCTTAGCAGAATTGTCTTTGTCGACTAGGATGCTCTTTGTAGTTTTGAGTGTTGCATTTCAAAGTGCCGTTTTTTAATAGTTATTTTACAATACCTACGCTTTTGTGCATTGAACATTGTATTTTAAGGTAAGTGTGACAGTATCAGTCACATGATTACTTTAATAAATACCAATCTTTTAAAGAAAGAAATGATGTAATTTCTCCATAGTTTAAAACACAATACTTTAATTTCATCAGTCTTATTTCGTGACAGGTAACTGTTCCTTGTCTAGCTTCTCTAAAGAAAATAGACTTTGGGGCTCAAACAATGGGCTTGTACTAACATGAGGATAAATAGATTGGGCAACAATTCTCAGTAGCTGTTACACTTAATTTTACAGACAGAATCTTGAGAACTGTAATGGTTAAAATGCATTAAATGACCTCTCAGAAGAGTAATTCTTTAATAAAGAACTGATAGGGTGAATGTGCTGTTTACTAGATTCAACAATGCTGGTGTAACAGCTTTGCTGCAAATAGTGTTTGGAATAATGCTTTTATATTACTAAAAATAATTTCCTACGGTTTGTTAGAGATTTTTAAAAGGACAGATAACAAGTCACTAGAGAGAATGAGAGAGAATTCTTAGAGACTTGGCAAAAAAAGTCATGTTTTGTCTGCTTAGCTTAAGGTTGAGACTGATCTTTAGCGACCACTTTCTGAAAATCTTCCTTGGTTCATACTACCATGCCTTTCGAAGCACTGATGAGTATTTACTTTGTTTGAAACCAGAAGATTGCTTCTTGCAATGCAAAGAGTGCATCTTTTTTTTTTTTCTTGTTCAGTACAAATCTGAGCATAACTTGCAGGGAAAATTCTGGTGCAATGTGGGTTTTTAGTCAAAATCCAATTTAGATCCACCTTACAGCTAGAAGATTTACTTTGTGTGTGAGATGCACACTTAATGTGTTTAATTACAGTACCTTAAGTTAAAATACAGGTGCCAATACCTTATAAGTTTTTTTTATATCCATTCTGTTTTCTGTAAAAGGAAATTTTTTTTGCACTCAGGAAGAACTTGATCCTTTGAGGTCTGCGTGGCTCTGTGTGAGCCAAACTAGACAAACATTGTAGAAGATCTGCTGATAACCAAACATTGGCCTAAAGGTTCTTTTAGAAAATCCAGCTTTCTTGCCTGCTGCTCTTTCCTTTTTTTTTTTTTCTTTTTTTTCTGTAATGCTGTGCAAATGTTAAATATTTTCAGTTACGTTGGTGGTAAGGCTGAATGGAGCTCTGTGTGTTTTCCTAATATTGGCATTTTTTACAATTTTTAGAATTTTTTAGTTCTGAGATTTTTAGTTGTTCCTCAGAATTCTCTCTTTTACCCTTTACAAGATAATGCAGGAGAGGGCAGGGAAATTAGTGTCTTTTGAAGCAGCTCCTTTATACATATAAGTATTTAATCTCTTTAGTAATTTGGAGTTTAAATATTTCAGAGGTCATGACAGAGCATTACTCATAGTGAGTTGCTGATATGACCAATTTCCCATCATGTGCCCTTTTGCAAGTCATTTAGCTCTTTATGTTATCAATGACACCACCTTGATCTTCTCTTTGTTCGTTCAACATTTGGAAGGTGTTTGCCTTCCAAAGTCTGGAAGATCCTGGGGTGCTTAAAAGTGACGTACATGTATATACATAATAACACATAAACTGTTGGTGTGCATGAATCTGCAGGACTGTGTTTAAAGTGCCAATTGCATTTAGCAAGATGATCTGCAGCATACCATGACTCAGTCTGTTACATGAATTTTCCCCCCTAAGGTCACAATTGTCCCTTCATTGCTTCTAAATATCAGGTCCCCTGCTGAATCCAGTTGTATGTTGTAGGGTGCCCTTTAGACAGTCTGGATACATCTCCTTCTTCCACATGTGCGCACCAGTGAGTTTTTTTAGCTGAAGTTTCCATAGTTCTGAAAATAGTATCTGTACCTCTCAGGTTTTTTGAATCTTCCAAAGATGCATTTACGTTGCTAACATCAGGAAGTCTGACTGGAAAATGTTAAATAATCTCAGTAACGTTTTATATCCAAGAGCAGCCAACAGAGAAGACGTAGTGAGAAAGTTTGGGAGTTGAAGCTGTGAGGGGAAAGTGGCTTCTAGGAATTCAAACTGGGATTGGACTGCCTGTCTTTGGTTTTGGAAAATGGAGATCTGCTGCAAACCAAATAAGAAAAGTAATAATAAAGTTTGTGTGGAAATCCTGTAAAGTAATCCTGTTTGTTTTGATTCCTGAGCCGTAAAAATTGTGTCAAGACTACCATAACTGTGATGAATCTTTGATTCTGCCGTATAACCCAATGCACAGTAACAATGCAATTGTTTTCCACTTGTGCAAGAAAGACGTTTGGTGGAATACTGAGTAACTGTGTTCAAACCTTTGGATTATTTTTAAGATATTGTTCATGAAAATCTGAAAATGGGGTCAGATGGTGAAAGTGACCAAGCTTCTGGAACATCCTCCGATGAAGTTCAGTCTCCCACAGGTGTTTGTCTCAGAAACCGGATACACAGACGAATCTCAATGGAGGTAATTTATTTTTCATATACGGATCATTTAAATTGACAAGAGAGTTGCCAGTTGCTTTAGTTGTTTGTTTTAACTGATTGTCTTCGTTAACTGTGACTGTTCTTGCACAGAGCACCATTTTAATATTATTTAAATTTCTGTCTCCATTTATCACACAGAAATCAGATGGGTGTCCTGCATTGAGCAGCATGCTGTGTTAATTTTGAAAGTCTGAATATATTTTGCAAATTGGAATTTTTGAGAAGAATTTAAGTGTAGTGTTTTAGTTGTATTTAATTGTGCATTCTCTACAATTCAGTTAATATATTCAAGGAGTTACATAATTCAGACATTTTTTACTTTGAACTGTTTTCTACTCTTTGTAAATCTAACGCGACGGCAGCAATGGTCCTGACTGCTTCAGCCTTTCCCTCTCTTCCTGTTTTTTAATGAACGGAACTTTACAGGATGGTAAACAAAAGGAGGAAAAGTACCTTATGAGTAACTGTGCACGTAATTTCCTTTATTTATGAGTCTCATTATGAATACTAGCCACCCTTGTGCTTGCTTTGTTGTCATTTCCCTTGGTGAAGAAAAACAGAACACTTCTCTGTTTCTTGTGTGTATTAATGTTGCAGTTATAATGATGCCTTTGTTGCAGAAGCATGAAAAATTCTGTAGTTGCTGCTTTATAGCATACATACTGATATGCGTGGTTTGTAAGATTTTCAGTCTTCACTCAAAGCCTGGTATCATGTACAGGATTGGGGAAGCAGATCTGGATAAATTACAGTAGGGTGTACATGCCAGATTTTTTTTTTATTTGTGGGGCGTTCCGTTATGCTTGGAATTCCAAGACTTCAAGCATGTAATGCTGATACGATTCCAAGAACTTGTGAATTAGCTGTATAATTATTTATATAGTTTCTTGCACCTCAGAGGTTTTGTCTTCAGATTCCTAAATTTATACGTTAAATCTCGGCTTTGATCTAAGGACTGTTAAACCATTTACTTGGGAGAACTAAGATGGGCCTATTGATTTACGCAGAATGCTTAGATTAAGAAAAAAAGTAATTGTGAAAACTTGCACGTTAAAATGTATGCTGGACAAGCTAAAATCAAGGAAATAAATCATTTAAAAGGGTTTTTTCAATTTTGGTCATTGTTTGTTTCCTGTTCATTTTGAAATGCACATTTAGAACAGGAAACGAGTAGGGAAATTAGTGATACATAATGAAATTAACAAACTGAAATGAAAACGTGTCAAGTTTTTCAGAGAGGACTAAGAACCATTAAAGGATTCTCTTTTAAGAAACCCTACAAGATATTACAAAAGAACTCAGGAATAGTTATTAAAGTTCAGGAAAGTCCTATGTAATTTTTGGGAAGGTGTCAAATAAAATCATCTTTTCATTGGCCTCTTTATTTGTGAAATAATTCTGATATTACTGTTTAAGCGGCTTTGGGAAACTTTTATTTACAATTGTTTATCCAATGCTATTTTTTGTTTTGTCTCCAAATTCCAAATGCTTGCTCCTGGTTGTTGTAATTGACATTATTTCTTCATTGACTAGCTCAGGAAATGAGAGCACTGATTTTTTGGTAGCTATTCATGTGTATTCAGTGAGAATTTTAACATTTATCCTAAATCACTTCAGTATTGATAAGGTGACTTTTCCAGTAAGGTTTAAAGCTGGCGTCTATGAACACTCTCACTTGTGAATTTGAAGAATGCTGTCATTGAGAGAGACTTTGCTTTGACTTATGTTTACTTCTTGTAAGTAATTTGTAGCAGAGCAGGAGGCGGGTTTGCTTGTTCGTACATTCCAGAGGACAAAAAGCAATCCTTGTAGATTTGGTTAAAATACCTTTCTGATAATCTTGTCAGTTGACTTTCTTGTTTCCTATATGAAAAGACGTGAAGCGATTACATCATGTGCCAGTCTTTCATTCCTCCTTTTTTCCCATGGGTCATTTTCTGTCAGTTTTCACAGATGGATAGAAATCTCAGATGCTAATTTTCTATTAATTTCTGTGGAAAAAAGCTCTGCATTGGGAGAGATTGCTAATGCATCCACTGCTAGGAAAAATGCAGCCTTTATTAAAAACCACAGTATCCACCAGTGACTGACTTGAGTCTTAAGATGTACATCCACAGAAAACAAAGTCTTACTGGTTTTGCTCTTCATGGAACAGGGTCGCTTGCTTCCTTGGCCTTTCAGGGAAGCAAGGAAAGGTTTCTTCTTCTACCAAATCTTACCTGCGTACCTTGGGTGGTTTGTGCCATGGTCCAATAGTAGTAACTTGATTATTTGAGAAAGAAGCAATCTGTTGTGCAGTAAGTTTCTGTTATTTCAGTTTTATTTTGCTGGCTTGTGGTGATTTGTGGTCTCTAGACATCATTGGGTAACTTGAGGCCAGGTTCCCCTTACAGTCATTTAGGACGAGTTACAGCTGTATGCTGTACGTACAGGTTAGAGTGAATTAGTATGTATGTGATAGAATGTTTTTGCTGTAGTCTGCTGAGGTCATTATTTGCACTTGAAATCAACTGTAGGATGTATTTGATAAAATACACAAAGTTGGATAAATGCGGTAAAGCAGTATTCCTCATTCCTTCGTATTAAGATGAATATGCCTGTTATGCTGACCGTGTCCTTTTTTGGTGTTTAGTTTGGCCAATATTCATGGTATTTGTACTATTTTTGTACACAATTTCTTGGTTGTATATGTTTGTTTCCCTCTGCTGAATTGACAGAAGTCCTAATTTGTTTTGATGGTAGCTAATCAGGTAAAGCTGAAACCTTGGAATAGTCCTTTTTCCTTTTAAGAACTTTGTGTGTATAACCAGATTTTTAATGCTGAGCTTGAACTTTGTCTAGAATTCTGAAAATTAGTAGCCCATGGAAAAAAACAACTGATTTTTTTAATAATGCTTGCTAAAATCTGTAATCAAATTATTAATTACCGATACCAAGTGTTAGTTAGATTTTGTATGTTAGAATACACATTTTGATTCTTAGTGCAGTGAATCATACAATAAAAATAAAGCCCTTTGTCTGTAAATGTTAAATAATTCAGAGCTGCAAACAAAATTGTAAAGTTTTTGAAGAGCAGACAGATCTTCCTATCGAGAGTATATGAAAGATTTTGTTGGGAAAGAAAACTTGATATATCTTAAATTTTCATATAGAAATATCCTGGAAGGTAGAGAAGTGCAAAATAGACAAGGGAAATGCAACTAAAAATGTGTTTGTTGTAACAGAATCTCAATAGTAATAGAAGGGTGAAGTATCATAACCTTAAGTTGAGCTGGTTTGGATAGGAGATCTTCCTACTTAAACATAACCTAAATATGAAGCATTTTAGATTAGAAGTGGTGATTCTGCAATGAGAACGATTCCTGCTCCACAGTGCAGAGTCTGCTGGGGTGAAAACTTTTCATCTGCAGTAGCAGCCATGGAGTTATCAGCTTTCAATTTGTCATCCCCCCGACTTGCCATAAAATTTAGGCCAGGCTGACTGTTAGAAACAGAGAGACGATAGGGATTTTCCTCTGAATTCGACAGCACTGCAGTTGCGGGACTAGATTATTTTTTCTAAATGATTGTTCTTTGTTATCGTGTGCTTGGAAAACAAAGAGAACATACCAGAATCTCATTGTGTTGCCTAGATAAAGTTTATTTTGCCTGTAATCCACAGGCTACAAATGGTCCATAAAGCAGTTGCTTTTTTTTTTGCGTCCTCCTTCCTTCCCCCCATTCAGGAGCCATGCTGACAGTAGGTGCAAGCATCTATTGTGAGAGGAATTTGGCTTCAAACAGCGTTAGGTTTTAATTAAAATGTCTCCTCACCTCATGTTAATATTAAGGATTGCTTAGTAAATCAGTAAAGCTGTTTATCAAAACATGTATATGGAATCATTCCATGTATATGGAAGCGCCAGAAGCCGTACAGCCCAAGAATGAATATGTGTGTCTGTTTTAAGAGTAGATGCTTTCATCATGTAATGAGAAACGCTTTTCCACATCATGGAGTTAACAGCTTAAAGCGTTTTCACTTTGATTTGCTGGAAAAGAAGATGTGGGCAGTAATGCATTAATATAAATTCACATTTCAAGCCTTAAGTGTTCACTGGGGGCCCTGTGCTCGTGCACTGGGTAGTGAATGCTTCATTAGGAGCTGCGGTGGATAAAGAATAGGGAGATACAGTCTGTGCAAATTGAAACATCTGTTTCTCTTTCCCAGAAGTCCAAGGTCTATAAGCTGTCTTCATATGTGAACTGGCAGAGGGCCATAACCCACTGTTCACCAGCCTGTTTCCCAGATATTTTATCCTGAGAACAGTTCTTATCCATCCGACTGTCACACTGGTGACAGGAGCCTGTTCCAGATCGGGCTGCTCCTACCATGCTGCTAGAGGGTGTAATTCTCCCTTGGGGGGATCTCCTGCAGGGTTAGTGCTTTTAGCCGAACAGAGGGAAATACAAAGGCTACCAAGTGATCCTGAGTCACATGTGTGTTGTGCGGGTCACCTTCCAAAAGAAGGAACGTTGATGAGAACTAAGTTTTTGGGGAGCTCTGCCTTTTACCAGGGCTGCAACTCGTTCAGGGGTCTAGACACAGCGGGAGTAACTTGATCTGCTGTTGGTCCAGCTTGACAAGTGTACCTTCTCCAGAGAAAAAACAAAATGAATAGTTGATGTTTCAACTGACATTCTCTGTTTATAGGCTTCAGATCAGAATGTAGCTTGTAGGTCACTGTTCACATGTGCAAATAAGGCACTCTTGGCTCCATTCGGCTGCTTAAATTCTTGAGCAGCGCACTGGATGTCAGTACCAACCCAGACTTTCAGCCTTTTCCTGGCGTTAGTTTTGGAAGCAGACAGCCGGAACGTCCAGCCCTCTGTCTTCTGCCGCTCAGGAGGCTCCCTTGGATCCCCAACAGGCATTACTGCTCGGTGCCTTCTCTCAGCTCAAGTTCTTCCTTCCACTTTCCTTCTGTGCTTGGCAGCTGTATA